GCAGCCAAGATGCTTGCTGATGTGCCAAATCAGAAAAAACCAACCTTTGCCTTGCAGAGTTTGCACTGTAGTTCGTTTTGACCAAAGCATTCCCTGTGCGTCCCTTCTCTTGCACATGTGTGGCTGTGCGCAGACCTGCTCCCTCACCTGCAAGCTGATGCGTAGAGCTCTGCGAGGGAAGTCCGACCTGCTGGGTGGGCAGACATCTGGCAATCACTGCTGTTCCCGGTGCCGCCACTGACGCTGTCTGTGCCTAGGCATGGCACGTAGGCCAAAAATATTAAAATTGGCTCCCTTCATCCTAAGTGAAATGGTCATGGGCTGCAAGGAGTGAGCTCCCCTGGAAAAGTAGAGTAGCTAACAACTGTGCAATTAAAAGTAGAAGTATTGATTGAGAGCAGGGCCTTTAATCTCTCCACTTTCTGCTCATAGAAAGGGAACTGTGCTCCTCTCCTGCCTTGCAAGGTGATGACTCTGTGTGCTTTAACCTTCATCAACTGATGTTTACAAAGTACTTCTAAAGCTGCCAACTGGCAAATACTGTGGAAAAATACCCCAGATTTTCCCTGGTGCCTGATGCTGTGTGTGCATGCCTGTCTGTGGCTGGCTGTTTATCGGCCAGGATCCCCATGGCAGGCATCTCTACACCTACCCCTTCGAGTGCACGGCCTGCATTCACGTCTCTGTTTTCTTTGGCACCCTACAGCATTTCCCTTGGCACTAATGGCCAATAATATAGTTTCTCCTCAGACATCCCCCTCTGCCAGATTGCTCCCATGAAGAGGATTATCATTCTCATACTTGTGAGCCTCACGCTGTCCCACTATCTCTTTCAGGCTGTTCGCCCCTGGGGACAGGGTCACAAAACCCACAAAGCACACAGATTTGCAATTAGATCTGCTCTGTAATATTTTTTTTTCCTTCCCTGAAAAATACAACAAGAGAAACTGTAGCTTTTGGAGAAATTGTCCAAGTAGCTTTAAGAAAGCTCTGTGCTTCCCTCAGCCCAAAATCTGCAAGCTTTGGAAAGAAATATTTAGATGAACCTTCTCCAAAAGTTTTCAGAAGAAAGTAGTTGTTTCTTGTAAAAATAAATGCACAATAAAAAGCAAAGAATTTCCCTTGAAAACTAATTTCAGTGGAAATTTTTCAGGTAGCTTCAGCGAGCTGTGGAGCTCAGCAAGCCCTCTGGTGCCAGGGCCATGTCTCACAGGCCCTGGGGCCTGCCAGCTCCCTGCAGTAAAACCAGAGATCAAGTTGAAAAAGAGGGGAAAAAAAAAATAATCCCATGCTTGTGGTGCTATTCATCTATATTTCTGTAAGAATCTCTACAAAAATTAAAAACCACAATAGAAGGGGGAGTTAAATATTTGTGTGTGTGTGCTTTTCAGTAAGAATAAAGCCTCTGATTAGACAACGTAGACGGGTGCCTCGCTCAGCCCCTGTAGTGATCTGTATTGCTGTGCCACGTTTACACAAAAGGAAGCAGAAAGGGGATTTGCCTGTGGTCAGACTGAAGCCAGAAGAGTCTTTGCAGGGAAAGTGGCTGTCTCGTATGGAAAACCAAAACATTTGGAAATGGGACACAGGAGCCGAGCTCCAACACCAGTTCAGCCAGCGTTGTTGTGTGACTGGGCTGTACTTTTTCCAAGTCCTAATTGCCCTACCCTTAAAAAGTGGGCAATAACGATACATCCCCATCTTGGGAAAGTGCTGAATACTGGTAGGTGCTGTTTTCCGGCAGACATGCTGGCTCTGCAACAATGCTTGCAAGGTGAACTTGGTGTCTGACTGCCAGATCCAGGGTTCCTCTCTTTGATACAATACAGAGAAGAAAAGGCAGCGATCCTCACTCTCAGAAGGCAAACACTTTCAAAGTGAGTAGAAAGACACCAGCTCTAGCCTGATGACATAAATCACTTTGATGAGCCTTCAGGTATGTCCTGTGACTTGGCTTAGGGCTCTGTTTGCCAGAAGGGAATCATTTAATCTCCCCAGTGATCCCACGTAACCCCCCACGGCTGTCTAGGCAATCCTGCTGCAGAGAAACCCGAGTTGCTTGTGATTCAGCTCCTCAGCCACAGCAGTTTACAGGCCTGAACTTTATGACAAAGCAAAAGCAAAAACAATCCCACTTTAAAACACTGTGCATGCATTGTGACTGAAAAAAAAAAAAAAAAAAGTCACAGCCATGTATTCATACCCCACAGATGCAGTGGTTAGCTGGTGACAACTATAGCACCAGGCATCCCAAGCAAAGCCATCCTCCTGCATTAATTGAAATGTCAGGTCTCTGAAGACTCCTGTTTTGTATAAGCTTCTTGTTATTTGAGACTCCACACTTGCATTTGTAGCTGCTGGACTAGACAGAATACTCTATAAGTGCCAAATTGATAGAGGAGCTAGATTTCTCTAACTTTAGCCTGCATCATAAGGACTCCTGCATCATAAAGAGTCCAACTGGTTGACTGTTTAGCTGCCTAACTGAAAGCTTGGTGTCCGGGTTTCATCATCTAGTAACCTTTTAGCCACCTTTGTGGATCTACTAAGCCTGGGGTGACAAAACTTTGAAACAGGAATCACAGTTTTTCATTGCTCAGTGCAAGTGTTTCCCAGATCCAGTGACTCCGCATTGGAGAGCTGTGGCTGTCCTTGCATGTGGTATCATGTCTGAAACAGGTGAACAAACCATTGCACTCATCCACAGAAGAAAAGCCTGCGTGAAAGCTGTCCATTTTCATTGCCCTGTCAGCTGGGACACAGAGCTCAGTACATCGCAACTCTACGCCATTTCACATTCCAGGTAAAGGAGCAGGGGGGCAGCTCAAAAGCAGAATGTGTTTTCACTCAACAAGAGCTCCTGACTTGCTTTATTTGTCTCCACATAAGCGACTGGAAACAGATGTCTCAGCCTCCTTGTACCAGTCACTCATTTAACAAAAGCTCTGTCTCTTATTTGTACAGCGTCCTTGTTCTCGCACCCTTAACTCATCATTACATGGAGATAAACTATCAATGCCCAGCCTTGTGACACTGCAGGGAGGAGGGCTGATTCTTCAGGAATAAGGAAGAAGACCCATGGAAGGGTTCAAATCTCAAACCTTGCACTACTTGGTATGGCTAGAACTCTACTGCAACAGGATCATGTGCTTTTAAGCCAGCTGAGATGGGGCAGTACCTAAATACAGGGTTTTTTAAGATGTGTTCCCAGGATCAGAACTTTTGCTCGCCTCCTTTCCCCCAAAATGCAAGATACTGCTCTTCTGCCCCAAACACCAGACAGCAATGTTTAAGAAGTCTTGAACCCCTATGCTCTGCCTTAGAGTCCTTACTGGCTCTCTAGACTTCTACTTTTATCTTCTTCCAGTATCCTTTATCTTTTACCTTCCACAGCAAGAAACACAGGCTTTGCAAAGGAGCCGCTTAACCACTGTAACTTGACTGTTAGAAAGCGCAAGAATTATAAGCTTTAAGCTATCAAAAAAACCAACCCAAAAGCACTTTCCGACCCCAAGCCAGCCCCTTCGTAGGGATCGCAGTTCACCAATAGTTCAAACTGGTCACAGTCCTTCCTGCCTGCTTTTCACTATGCGCCTTTCTCCCATGAGGGTGATCACTGGCACAAGCCACAACCCCCTTCCAGAATTCAGCCCCAATTTCCATATCAGACACGCAACCACATGCAGCACTCTCCCAGGACCACGGCCTTTGCTCACACTCCCACCCTGGCACAGAGAAAGCCACTCTTGCCCAGCAATGCACAAAGAGACCAGAGACAGCAGCAGAAAGCACCAGCCATAAACCTTCTCTAGTGCCTGGAGCATAGAGGAAAGATTACATTTTGTACTATTACCTGGCACAAAAGGACCAAAACAGGACTTACCATTTGATGTAGGCACAGTCTTATATCCAGCATGCACTGGAGAAGTCTCTTCCACCACTTTGAGTAAAAGAGGTCCCCTCAGACCCACACCTAGCCCTTATCTCCAAATTTAAAGGGTTATCCATCAGACAGCACTGAGGGCAAGGCTGCCGGTCTTCACTACAGATGACAGGAGGCTGATTACGTAGAACTGAAGCCTGCCTGCTAAGTGGAAGTGTTGTTTTTCTTTCTTAAGAAGAAAGAAGATCATAGCTTGCAGCAGATATATCAAAATCTTTTGTAACTGTTGCCTTTGCTGGTGGTTTATTACCAGCTGATGACACTCTGGGTGAATTGAAAACTATCATCCCCTTTTGTATCTTTTTTTTTTCCATCATTTGGGTCAAGATAGCTAACAGGGAAACTCACTGAACAAGATGGGGAAAAGGTGGATGGCTAAAAGCAGCCAAATGACCTACATTTTGCAATTAGGTTAAGAGCAACCAGGTGATCTACCCCTTGTAAATACCTGTTTCTTTCCACTGACAAAAAAATGTGCCTGAATGATTAGTTAGGATTAGGTGTGATGGATCCCACCCCTTGTTTCAGTGCCTAATGTTTTGAAGAAATAGTGTGCCTGGTTTCAGAAACAAGAATGTGGACTGTCCCATCTGCTCTAGCAACTTTTCTAAGACAGTAGCCAGCAAAAAGTGTTCAGAGGAGATATAAAGCCCAGCCACTGACAGTCCTTTGAACACCCGACCCAAAGAGGGTCTCTCTAATTCCCTGTAAGTTTGAGGCTTGTCTGTGCCCTAAAGGAAGAGAATTTAATATTCCTTGCAAAATCCCTGGCTCTTGGTAATCTACATTATTGTAACCCTGGACAAGCCTGTTTTCCACAAAAATACCCAGTATTTTTCTAACCCTGCTGAGCTCTCGATCACCGCAAGTATCTTGTGCCTATGAATATCATGAGGTGACTGTGAGGGGAAGCTGGGTGATCTCAACACATTTAAAACATGCGACTTTGACTCTTTTTTTTTTTTACCCCCGTGGGGAGGCAGCAGCCTGTTTGACACGGATGGGTCTGTCGGCTTAGCAATTGTACCAGTTCATGCTGTTTCTGCTCTCTCCCCAGGGTCTGAATCCTCACCTCCGGATCAACGGGCCGATGAACATCAACCACTACGCAACGAAGAAGAGCGTGGCAGAGAGCATGCTGGACGTGGCACTGTTCATGGCGAATGTCACACAGCTCAAAGCAGTGCTGGAGCAGGGGGCTTCCTTCCAGTACTATGTCACCCTCATCGTGCTCATCAGCATCTCCCTCTTCTTCCAGGTGATAATCGGGATTCTCCTCATCATCACTGGTAAGCTGGCCACCGAGGCACGTGCACCCTTGCAGGGCGCTGCAGGGGCAGGGCACCCCATGGCTATGCTGACATGGGGGTGGAAGGGAGAAGCCTCTTCCCCCAAATCATTACCCCTGGCTCCAACCAGGACTGCGTGAGGGCTGAAGACAGCTTGACGTGGGTGGTGGGGAGGTCTGTGTTACTGCTTTTCAAAGTGGTGAGTTGTTTTTTTCTCTTGCACAACAGCTCTGAGCATTACTTTTCCTTCACTTCCTTACTGCTGAATCCCTGTCGTAGGGAGAGAGCTCAGTTTTGGGCCTCTTGCTGCCCATCCTGTAACGTGCCCCTTCATGCAGCTCCTCAGCTCCTGCATTTTAGCTGTATCTTTCACCTCACTCAAGCTGGGGCCTAACAGAACAATTCAGGCAGAGATATTCCTTGTATTAACCTCACATTTAACCAATCCCACAGAATGCTGCCTTTTCCTGTATATCCTACACAGTTTTTTATGTGGGACATGGGATTGGAAGCTACAATAATTCCTGTGTCATGTTCCTTCCCCTGCCCCACATGGCACAGCCTTTGCCAGTGGCAGCCGCAGTGGCTGGAGCCAGCTGTGAGGAGAGGGGGGACAGGGGACCACAACTGAGGGCAGGGAGCCACAAGGCTGCTGTTTGCATGGCTTGTTGGCCAGACAGCCCCAGTAACCGGGGTGTTCCCATGTCTGAACTGATCAATGTCCATCAGCTAGGGCTGATCCCATTCGTGTACCCAGATACCTTTTGGTCTGGGGGCAAGGAGGGAGTTGATAGCTGTGTCAGCACATATGTGAGATGTGGGTGTCAAGGAGGAACTGGCCTCCAAACCTGAGTGCAACATTGCTGACCTTGTCCCCCATATCACCCAGCCTTCCCTTGCCATGTCCCACGGTCCTGCAGTGGGGGGGTCACATGGCACATGCCTGCCTAGCATGCAGCAGTAATTTGGCTATTTAGGGTTGGCCTGTTGGAGGGCCATGGAACCTCCATGGCAAAACAAAGACATGACATTAAAAAAAAATTGTTTTTCCTCTGCTCTGTCCTCCTATGTTGTTCTAGGGCAAGCTGTGGACCCTGTAAAGTTCCTGGGACTATTCCCCCAGCTCTGTGGCCGCAGTGCCCAGGGGCACCATGGACATTTGTCAGGCAGGGAAGGCTTGCAGGGGCTGGGGGACTTGGGAGTCAAGCTACAGATCTCCCTTTCTTTTTGCATTGTATTGCACAGCCCGTTTGAACCTGAATGATGTTGCAAAGCAACCGCGCCTGAATATACTCAACAATGCTGCCACAGCTCTGATCTTCATCACGGTCATCCTCAACATCTTCATCACAGCCTTTGGGGTGCAGAAGACTGGCCTCTACCCTACCAGGAATTTTCGCCCTTATTAAGTCATGGGGCAATGGAGTCAGGTAAGAAAGGAATGAGTTCCCATCACTGCCAGCCCCTGGAAGGGCTCTCAGTCTCAGAAAACACCATTGCAAGGTGGAGAAGAAGGCAAAACTGCACAAATTAACAAAGCCTTTCCAGAGGCATGTTGTTGTCCCACGAGCATCTGGGGCCATTGAACAAATTCCCTCAGAGGAGGAGGATTTCTCCTTGGTTGGTCTTTAAATCAAGAACACCAAACATCCTAACTGCTGGGATTTATGCAGCAGGAAGTGGTTTTCAGAAGGCTGCAGACCTCATGTTAGATATGGATAGCAGTTGTGGATGGGAGCTAGATTTGGGAAAGAAAACTAGATACGTTCTGGGAGGTATCCAAAGATGGCAGCATTATTTGAGCAGAAGAAAAGGAAGGTGCTGGCGAGGCGGGGGTGAAAGAGCCAGTGTGGTTTGGCAGGGGGCTGTTTTAAGAATCTGACTCTGATTTTCAAGAGAGAGTCTTGTGAATGAGAGTCCAACCAAATGCTTGGGTTCCCACGTCAGGTCAATGAGGGAATGACATGTTCTTAAGTCAAAAGTGCTTTAGGTCAAGAAGCAAAGTTCACATCTCTTGCTTACATGACCAGCAACATGTAAATGTAGTTTAAACGCAATATACTGGGGCAACAGCCAGCAAGAGAGCTTGATAGATGCACAATATGATGATGGAGGATGCAAAGGCCAAAATCTTCTATAAAAACACTGCTAGCTTGGGATCCAGAAGGGTGCAAGCACTGAAGAGCAGCACCCCACACCCATAGGGGTGGCCGTGGTGCCAAGTGACCCAGTATGCCCTGACTGCTCCTCTCTGCCCGTGCACCATGGAGAAGCCTGCTGTGACTTCACTGGCGTTTCTTGTCTTCCCTGCAGAACCTGAGCAGTGCGGCTGGCGGGGAAAGCTCTCCTCTATGTTTCCACTGACTTCAGCAGAAGCCCATCGACGAATCCAGAGAACTGGGTTAAACTTTCAAAACTGTGTGTGTATCATGGTATACCAGTCCCTTACCATAATGCTTTTGCAGTTCTGAAGGGTTGAAAACATTGCCTTTCAAAGCTAGAACAAACTTCGCTAGCAAAAGCTGCAGGAACAGCAGCAGGTACACAATTTTAAAGCACAGTTCTGTAAATCTCATCTCTTATTTTAGTTGTCTGCTTCATGTATTCAATATTGGCTCATTTTGTAGAGATGACTGAATGATTTACTTTGTAGGCTAAATAAATGAGACAACTCCAACTTTTTTGTCTCAAGCATAAGTTGCTATACTTAAAGCAATGCTATCTAATAGTTTACCTCCCAAATGTTGGCATGGATTTCTCAAACTAAAAAAAAAAAAAAAGTTGTTCTCATGGGAGGATAGAAAAATGTGTGTATGTCAACGTAGTTAAAACCAGTTCAAAAGTTTTCCTAGTTGTTTAAAATTAACTGTGACACAGTTGAGAAAACAATCAAGTATTTCCAGCATTGGAAAATTAACAATGACAGAAAATAGGTATTATGGTCTGATGTCATCGCCAGGGACCTATCAGGAATGATGTCAGAATAGCCTGACAATATTTAGGAGAAAATTAAGAAACATTATACATAAGGAGATACTCTAGGCTTATTTCCATAATAAGAAATGACAGGTGCATAGTATATTACTTTATTAAAAAATCATCATTATAATTTACGGTCTTATCACTAACATAAATGTTTTTAAATATATCATTTTTATATTGACAATGCTGGGAGTTCTCTTGTACTAGAACAATTTGTTTCCTAAAAAAAAAGTCTTTGAATTAATGATTTTTCAGATTTTTTTTTGAAAGAGTAAAAAATTTTGATCCTAAATGTTGTAACTTTGTAGTCATGCTAAAAAAACTGGTATTTTAATAGCCTGGTGTAAGCCTATTTAAATAATGACATGCTTTTCTGATTACTAAATGATTTTTTTCATTGTACAGCAGAATCAGAGTTCAATATGGATTTTTCATTTTGCATACTCTTGCCACCACTGAGAAAGAAATGTCACAAAAATGTCCACATACTGGTCTCCAGGAGCTACTGGGAGTGTCCGACACTTTAAAAAAACAGATATGGGTCAATTTCATTTGTAGTCTATATTTGATTTTACAGAACTAAATTTCAGTTTAAGTCACAGGTGGTGTTTTTTCTGGAGAGCGTGTGAATGATCTTGCCCACAAAGGCTGGTGAGTAAGGCTACGGGCCAGCATCAGCTAGTACCTGCAAATGACTGTGGCTTTTTTGCAGCTGAAGGGAAGTTACATAGAAAGAGTAGGGTGGAAAATGCCAGTTATGTACTTACCAGAATTTAAATTAGCAAAGCCGAGCACAGTCTGGGATCTGTTTGGTGAGGCAGGCAAAGACTCATTCTCCACTTTGTCTGGGGGATGGCAGGTCTGGAGCAACACTGAGTTTGCTGCTTATCTTGGTCTTCGGTCTCTGCTCAGACTGACAGGAAACAGGGCTAAATATTTCTGGGAAGCCTCTGTTATCCTGCTCTCCTCTAGAAAAAGGCTTCACTGTAGAGGCAGCAAAACTCGTTTTAACCAATGCAAAACCACCAGCTAAGGGCTTTCAGCCACTACTGGCTGGCTAGGTTCATGAAAAAGTAAAAAGTTATGCATCCCATGTGCAGATCCCAAATCCTGTGACTTATTGCCTCACAGAGCAGGAGGCAAAGCAATTAGCATCAATGACTGAATGAGAGAAAAAAAAGAAGAAAATGTTCAGCTGGGAAAGAAGCAGAGAGGGGAATTTCATTACCAGATCTCAACTCCAACATCATCATCTCAGAGAGCTGCCAGGTCAGGTACAATGGTGCACGAGGCCTGCCTGAGCAGAGAGGGCTTCCCGTCACCCAGCCCAGGCGAGCAGAAGACCAGCAGAACACTGGAATGCTTTTACCCCATCACCTTTAATAATTGTTTCTCATTATAATGGAATCAGACTCATTAGCAACCTTGGCCGCCTTTTTCCCTCTCCGTGTCTGACTCCAATTCCTGCCAAGCTTTTTATACTCAGAGGAAGCATAGTTGAAGCAAAAAGGGGCCAAATTTGAATCTAAATACGCAGTTGCTGTGCAAGAGCTGACTTCCCAGTTGTGTAGGCTGTGCCAAGTACCAAGCTCAGGTCTAGGCTCTTACCTGTGGCCTTCTCCAGGAATTGTCCCTGCTTGCAAGAAGGACCACTTTGTTCTCCACATTCTCTCTCTACGATCACATTGCACTTGTGCTTTGCTGGGACCTGTATTTGTCCAATGTTTCTACCTTGTTTCACGTGATAAACCCAGGAAGACAGGAGGAAAATCGTTTTGTTGCCATCCCACTTTCTACAGCCCTAGAGGGAACTGAAACAGATGAAACTGCATCTCTCACCCACCTCTTGCTGCAGAGCTCTCGCTGGCTTGGGCAAAGAGTGACTTGTCTCTCTGGTATTGCCTATGCCTTTGGTTATATGAAGCCAGAGGAGCAACATCTGGTTTCTAATCCCTGCTGCATGGCTATGTGGATGTGAGTAACACACGGACAGAGCTTTTGTAGGAAGACAATGCATTTATAAAACATGAGGGAGAATCAGAATATCCCCCAGCTCTAACAGACAGGTGGCCCAGGAGTCATCTTGAAGGCACAGAGCCACTTTAAGGCAGATAATTCAAAGGTACAATTTGGATTTTTAACACAAGGCATAGGTATCTAAAAAACAATCAACTTCAGACATTTGTAGGCAGTGAGAAGAGGTGAGATGTTCACACCGGGCAAACATTAAAGACAATGACAAAACAAGTCACATTATAATTTTCATACAATACATTTCTCTCAGAAAAAAAGCCAGCCATTCTTCATTCCCTCCGCTGACCTGCAAAACAAGCCTCAGCCCCACAATTCACAGTCCTGAAGATGGAGTCGGTATTTGTGGGCAGACCCTCCTTGCCGTGCACGCTGCGCTTGGGGGCCCAGGGTCCCCAGCCTGGCCACATCTTGCCCCAGGGAAGGTCTCTTCTGCAGCATGGCCCATCATCTCCCCAGCTGTCCCCAGGCAGAGAGCTACTGGAGCAGCTCCCTCCTGCTGGCCTGATGCACGGGAAATCCCACGCAACTGATTTCCTCCTGCTGGCAAGGCAGGACACAGCCAGGATGCACACAAAGGCCAGAAACTCAGGGCAAACTTCACCGCAAACTCAGGCACAGCTTCCTAAAAAGATCCTGTTGACAGAAACGAGGTCGACTGTTGGGGGGAGTCAGCTTCCCGGCCGTGGTGAAGCCAGGTTCCCTCTTGCTCTCCGGGAGCTGTGCCGGACCCAGAGACGAGCCCTCCTCACAGCAGCAGTGCACGCCATGTGACATAAGTGATGGGGCAAACCACTTGCAATCAGGGACCACGGTGGCCTGGCCACCACCCTGGATGGCCATGTCCTTTCACTGCATGGCGGTGGGACTACCTGCTCCTGCCATGCTCCCTGCTCTCCCCCTCTCCATGACTCTGGGGAGAAAAACTGCAGGTTGTTTTGGAAGAGGGGCAGCAACCTCAGAGCAAAGCCTGCTGCCACTCCTGCAAGATTTGCTGCTGGCTGGCAAGGCAGGGAGCGTGTAGCCCCTTCTCTCCCTACAACCCGCAGTGGCCTCTGAGCATGTGGGTTGGAAGACAGCTTTTGTCCCCATGGGCTCTCTCCAAGCTCCTCCATGGAGGCTGCCAACTAGTGCTAATTAGTGTTAATCACATTTACTACTGCAATGCTTAAATACCAGCTAAGAATCCCCACTGTGCTAGAAAGGGACGAACAGTTGTGATGGCAGCTACTGGCCATCAGTAAACTGGACTGAAACCCACAAACTCCTTACATCTCCACCAAGGAATCTCCATGAGGTAAACAGTTCTGCTTGCCACTGGCCTGGGTGACAAGACGTGAAGGAAGGTGCATAGTCACAGCTAAAGCATGGGGACAAAATCCTCAAATCCTGCTGGCAGTGCTGGTGTGAGGGTTGCATCCTACTTCCCAGCCCCCTTTTTGCTGACTGTCTTCTCTGGTGAGAAAGAGGGTTTACTCCTATCATTTAAGCCAAGTAAGTTACCTTCTGGACACACCTAATTCTTCCCAGTGTCTGCAGATGAACACCAGCTGCTAACTTCAGGTGCTGCAGACCACATCTAAGCCAGATGTGAAAGCGTACCGTACAAATAACCCTTCCTCCTTATGCATGACATAAGGGTCACCACCAAATCCCATCAGCTCTCCATCTGCAAAATGGGCATCATGTCATTCTCTGCTTGATGGCGCCAAACAGCTGGGTCCTGCTAACGCCTCGCCATGTCCCAGTGCTCACACTCTCCACCAGCCTCTCCCCATTCCACAGGGATTGCGTGATAGAGCCAGCCCGGACAGGCTGCAGAGGCGCAGTCCCGGAGCCTGGAGAGCAGCTCACCTGCACACTTGCGGGGTTGTGCCTGTGTCTGAGTGAAGCACAGGCTCCGACACGCACCGAGAGCATGACTGACACTGCACATTCCAGGCAGAAACAGAGCCTATTGCAACAGTGCATCACAGGGCTCTGGCCTCTTAAACTCCCATTTCAAAAAAAATAATAGTGTCGTCAGCCTCTTCGCTCCTGCCCCAACTGCAGTGTTTTACTTTTTAGTCTCTACATGGGTAAGGTACTTCCCCTCAATAAAAAGACTGCTCTGGCTTGGGCAGAAGGCTAAGGCTGCCTCTTCTGAGATATTCAGTGTCTGCATTCTGGCAAAGGCTCCATGGACTGAGGCACAGCCGACTCTTCCCTACTTCTCACCATAGCTGCACACTGCACAGCAAAACTTCCTGAAATCTGGTTGACTTTTTCTGACTCCATCAGTCACAAAACCCTGACTGAGGCAAGCAGCTGATTTGACAAGATTTCTATCTCACATGCCAGAACTTGCACATTCAGTTTTCTACTGCAATAGTGGAACTTGATGGACTTGTCAAGCACCACAGAATTAATAATAAATGAATGCCTATTCTGAACTGGCATCCACTCCACCAGCACAAAAAGCAAACAACTCTAGTACCATGTCAGCATTGCTTGTATCCTGTGTACCTCCATCAGTCACTTCTCAACAACTACCCACAGAGCTGGGCGCCATGACCAGCATCCTATGTCGCACTGTGCCCTGAAGCCTGAGACCAGTAGCAGCCTCTTCAGCACGGTATGGGGACACCGGAGCTCCAGTGTAGAGCACTGAGTGTATTGGGATTTCTGGGTTTCTGTAGTCTTGTAAAATGGTTACGGGGTAAAAAATGCCATACATCGATGGGAGTTTTAGGGGATGAGAATCCCCTCTAACATCAGGCTGGCTGTGGGCAGGGGTTCTTTCCACAGTTCTTGGATCAATGCCAGCATGGGTCTACCCATCCTTTTATTCACTCGACCCTCTTCTGTCCTCGCTGCTCTTTGCATGCAGTGCATGTGCCAAGGCCTGAGGCCACCTCCTCTGTACTGAGCCAGAGCTCCCAGGGCTGTTCCAGAGCTGAAGCACCAACAGCTGTGCGGGTTCTTCAACCAAGAAGCCTGCTCTTTACATAAGAGTCAAACTATGACAAAATGTAACTGTGAGGCCATAACTTATTAAATTAACCTTTAGATGCTGCATAAATGTACAGGATTTAGAGAGCAGAATACTCTGTCTCCTCTTTTTCTGACAAAATCACATTATTTCAACTAATAAAATATTGCCACTTCTTCCCTGCTAGGGTTTCCCTGATATCATTAGGACAAACACACATGTCTGTCAGATAAGGCTGCAAAGTTCCTCCTGAGATGCCCTCTTAGCTTCTCTGTATAACCCCTCCACTATCCTCAGGCAGTGGATCAACAATTTAGGTGGAGTTGTAACATCAATCCCTGCCACCTTGCCCAGCTGCAGGCAAATGTGGCTGTCATGAGGGAAGTGTACTTGCATCTCCATCCATGGCCCATAGTTTGCTGAATATGAGCACAGTTTTCCATAAAGACTAAAGAGACAAAGAACCGTCTAAGCACCAGCAGCCTAAAGTGCCTATCAGCTCCTCCATATCCAGATTTCCTTGGATCAGCACATGGGCATGTGGACACAACACAGTTCAGAGAACTTACTTTGGTCCCCTGTCCAAAAGCATGGACACTGGAGAGATGGGGAAGGAGGGTAAACGGGGAGGGTTGTTTTTTTTCTTTTTTTCATTCAAGTATTGAAAGAGAAGCTGTGTTATTCTAAATAAACCATTCTGGGCTTAGCTGGGTTCTGTGTTTGTTTGGTTTGCACCATGCAAGACTCAACGGGAAACATGGCACCTCTCCCACTGTACCATCCGCCAGACCGCATGGCAGGAAATACGAGTCCTTCACTTGTCAACATCTCCCCCGCATGCCTTCCCAGCAAGACACGGATCCCACGTCTTGGATACAACAGCTAACAAGAGAAGCTCCCGCTTCCCTAGCCTGACCATCCCTTCCTCAGCTGTGCCATCCCATTGGAGGGCTCTGGAGGCAGAGGAAGAGTTTGTGTGCTCGGCTGTGTGCCTCGATAAAGTGCACGTTGAGACGAGACGGTGGACGGTGCTTCTGAGCAGCTTTGGGGTTGAAGGCTACAACGTCTTCAGCTGGCGCCGGTTCCACATGCCCCGCTTCGAGTGAAACCAGTGGAAAAAGTTTCTCAGAGAGAGACGCTCCACTTCCAGCCCAGCCTGCAAGATCCTGTCAGGAAGGAGAAGGGTAGACTTAGGGAAAACTTGGTCACAGAGATACTGGGGGGCTCAGCCCCAGGAAATCTCTTTTAAGTTGTGTTGTTGTCAAGACACTGCAATTAAATTGAAGAGTCGAGAATAGCTCAGGGGTATCTCATATCCATAAGCAGACATCTAATGACATTTGTGAGTGTTTATGCACCCTTGGAGGAGGACGGGTCAGGAGTGGCCTCCACACGCCAGGCTAGGAGGAAAAACAGCTGGCAACATGGGATTGCTGAGGATGCTAGTCTTTTCTGCAGCCATCTGACAGAAAAGACAGGGCAGGCCCCAAAACCTAGAACTACAAATGCAGAGGCCTAGGATTTGTACAGCAGAGATCCCTCATCACAAACTTCTCAGAAATTGTAACTGTACCTCATGACCTTTAAATGTCTCTCTGACAGCTGTTCTTCTGGGCAATTGCGATATGTAGTCTGGGAAGTCTGAGGGACCCAAACTGGACCCACTGTACACTGCTTTGCTTGGAGGAGACAAAGTCTTCACAATCACCAGTGCCTGATCTGTCTATGGCCAACCAGCAGCATGGCTGGAAGGCACCAGGAAACGGCTGCTCTCTTCTTTTATCAGTGGCTGTAGTAGTGTATTTTGGGTCCAGTCACCTACTGGGTTTGAGGTCAGGACATACTCAAAGGCTTTCCTTCACTGACCAAGCTTATGGTGGCATTAGTCACCTCAGCCTCCTCAGATACCCACTCCCCTGGTCATTGGTCCTCCAGGATCTAATGGGTTTCCTCTCCTGAGCACATGAATGATGACAATGGATGCCTACCTGTCCAGGAGTTCCCAGTCCTCTCCTCCCCAGCGGTCCCGAAACTCTTTTGTGTTCATGCCTCCAATCTTGTCCAGGTCAGACTTGTATATGCCCAGGAGACCAAACCCATTCACCTCCCAGTAGCCTGAAGACAGCACAAAATAGGCACAGGTATGTTGGCACTTTGAACTGCTGATGACTCCAGCAGGGCTGCCGGAGTGACACTCAAGCTACTTTTAGCACAACGTTGACACCAGAGTGTCAACTCAGCACCAAGGCAGAGCTAACTGTATTAAAGCTCTGGGAAGTAAGAAAGGCTTGCGGACAGACAGCATGGTCTGTCCTATGAACTTGTCAGCAGAGCCTCTCACCTCTCCTGTCTGGCAGCATAATCCCTAATGTACCTGGACTGTACCAGTTTCAAAGGGTTGTCCCTGTGCCTGGATGGCTCAGGATAGACACTTCTGCCTGAAGGAAATTCTACACTCAGATGATCTGTGCCACTTTCCTCCCCCTGACTTGGGTTGGTTTCCCTCACCCCCAGGCTACCAGCTCTCCTCAATACAGGCTGTGCCCCCTAAGAAAAGAGAGAAACAGACAGAAAGGAGTAAAGGAGGGGTTTTCCAAGGTCCTCAATTCCATAGAGAGCCCTAGGAGACAACGAGGAGAAACGTTATATAAAGGGCTCCACTGGCTCTTTGATCTCATATTCCAGGCATCTGACACTGTTAAACCCCATCCTATGTCTAATGCACTCTCACCCAGTGGCCCTGGAAGCACCTTAAGGTCCAGACCTCAACAGCACCACAGGAACAAATCTAGAAGTGGCAGGCACCCTCTTTCTTTCCCCATTCCCCAAGGTCTGAGCCAAAGAGGGTCCACTCCTTCTTACCATCAGGCCACTGTGGGGACATGCCGCAGTGCAGCCTCATGACCATGGGTGCGAAGGCCATCTTGCCTTCCACGCAGTGCTTCCGGATTGAATCAATGACTCCAGCTGGGAAGTGGATGTGGAGGTCGCACAGGAAAACGATGCTGTGTGGATCCTGGAAGCAACCACACCGGTTGGCAAAAAAACAGATTGACTTTAAGTAAGTCTTTCTTGAGGGGCAGGAAGACAGAGATATGGGAGTGGATTAGAGCACCATTTGTTGCTACATCAGAAACTGAGATCCTAGGGGCTGGCGAAATGGCCATTGAGTGGCTGTTCAATGATGGGTGTGAAATACTACGACTATGACCTGGCAGAGCCAGTATCACAAAGCTGCTACTGCTGATTTCCCTCCTGTCTGATAGTCCCAGCAGGTGGACCAAGAACCGAATGGACCACAGGCTCCTCAGAGCAAATAGTGAGGCCCTTACTCTGCAGGGACAGGGAACACATCTATATTTGATCTGGTCTGCCAGGCTATTCCCTTCCCTAAAAACCAGCATGTTCAGTATGAAAGGCAGAGGTAGCACCAGACACATCCCTGTCCACCCCAAGGTCCCCCAGACTTACCGTCACAAGGTCTATCCCCGCCTGCAGCCCAGCAGAACGCTCAAAATTCCCCGTCAGCTTCAAGTACCGATAGCTGGGGGTCAGACGGGAAAGAGAAGTTCAGTGTGTGCATGTTGGCGAGCACAGAAAGCACCGCTAGCACCGACACACCGCAGGCAGTGTGCTGTGGAGCTGCCCTCACCCCCGAGCACCCTCTCAAGGAGGAGGAAAGCCTTTGCTGCGTGAGTGCACAGGCTCAGTGCTGCTCCAGGTCCCAGCGTGCCCTGAGGGTCTTCCCCCTTGTGCAGCAAGGACAGGGCAGTCCCTAGCAAAAGCACTTTCAGCTCTAGTCCAGCTTTATCCTAGGACTAGACCTGTTACTGGGAAGCCCTGGCATGTGAAGGAAATGACCAGCTAAGGCTGGTTCAGGTCAGAGTAGAGTAAGCTAGACAATTATTCCAGCAAGCGGAGTCCCCAGAGATCTCCACGCTCTGTCTCATTCCTCACAGCTTTCTTGTCTTGTCTGTCCTCCCTCTGACCCACTACCGCAAGACTTGCTTTCTCTTCTCTCTTGCAAACTTGAACAAAAGCCAGGAGAAAAGAGATGCATCTGGATGGATGACTACAATAGGTACTGCCTTACAGTTGTATAACACTATTATATGCAGTATATGTGTATGTACGTTATAACAACAATATATTCACGTATGTGTGCAAGGTCTGGATAGATGTTATCTTTGGGTTTCCAGCTGCAGGAGGTTGCTGAATACACAGAGACTGGCAGACGTGTTCTGTTTGCAGGCATATGCATATAAGCAGTTTTTTGTGACCAAGCCATACACTCACTGGTGCAAGGTAGACCTTTTCAGAGCCTTCTCTACATCCATGTCATTGCTGCTGTAGTCCGTGATGATGACGTTGAAGTACGGATCCTTAGTGACTCTGAAGAGCTCTTCCATGTCAGAGATGAACTGCAGCACCCAACGTGCCTGGTTTTTCACTGGTTGTATTGTAAGAGGGAGAGAATCAAAGCAAAACTGATTTCAAAGTCAGTGTGGCTTCTCAACAGGCAAGGTTTCTTGGCTCCCCTCAAACCCTGCTAACCTTGCAGGGATGCTGAAATAGGCCCAGGCTGAAAAGCAGGACCAACGATCCTAGGAATCAGTATGGGTTCTTCCCCAGTGCATGACAGGAGTTTTCTTTGAGCTTACAAGCCATGGGAGTTTGGGTCCTGTCATATTTCTGAGGAGGTTTAACTTGGAAAGAACAGAAATTGGAAGTGACCCAAATAAGACGGTTGAGCCTGGCCCAGACCCACTGTTCAGGACTGCCCTCATGGGAACTGCCCACCACGCCAACCCTTGACGTCCCAGGGAGGCAGGTCCCCCTTACCTGGCACCACAAAGTGAACGACGGCACGGTGATTCCAGGAAAAGCCCTGGGGCCAGCACAGCTCTGGCTCTTTCGCCACAGCCATCAGATGTCGCCGGCGACCCCATGCCAGGTTCCTCATCTTCCTCTCCTCCTCTTCATCGCCACCAACGCCCTGCCAGCCCCGCGCAAAGACATACTCGGAGAAGCGGACGAGCCTCTCTCCCTGCTCCAGCAGCTCCAGCTCCAGCAGGTAGCTGCATGCGATCCTGCCGTTTCTCCACGTTCACGATACGCTGCAGCTGGAATCGCCTGCAGGAGATACAGCTGGGGTGGGCATGTCCCCTGTACACCAGCCCTTCTCCCACCTCCAGCCTATTCAGCTCTGCCAGGCTCTTTGCTCCTGGCTACCACAAGCCCTTTTGTCCCCAGCTTCCCCCTGCTTTGGTGCACTGCTTCCAAAGTCCCATGGGAAGGTTTAGCACCTGTTTCCTAAATCCACAAGCATGTGGGATTAGATCTGGGATTCCAGCCAAGAGAAAATAGTTGGCAAGGGAAATGAAATAAAGGTGACACAGAAAATAACAAATGTGTCTGAATGATTGTAGGGCTGTAATAGTGAGTGCATTCAACACCTCCTACAATGATCTTGGCACAAGGAGTATGTTTGGGCTAGTGAAATTGGCTGATGACAGCTTATCAGCCAATAACATGGAGTAGGACTGAGCAATCATACAGTAAAAACTGGGGTGAGCTGTAGGTTCGGAATGGCCAAAACAGGATGAAATGCCAGGTCATACACTTTCGGATCATAACAAGAGTTTCTGCTGTACAATGGATGCTCATGAGTTAAAAATGCTGAGAAAAGCTGTGTGTACTGATCAGTTACACCGTGACTGTGACTGATGTGACCCTGAAAAAACAAATGTGATCTTAAGCTGTAGCATTAAAGCTACTTCCAGTAGGGACTGGGAACTAATAACACCCATTCTATAAAACATCCAGGATACTGGTCACTTATGTACAGGAAAATTCACCCAAACTGAAACCTGCATGGAGAAGGACAGATAGGAAAATTATGGAAATAGAAGCCAACTCAACGAAAGGGTCAGGAGTTGGATTGTTTAGCTTACAGAGGCTCAGAGGAGGTACATCTTTTTGCCAGAAAGGCAATCAAGATGGTAAGTCTTGAGAAGAAAAAGAACCATATCAAGACCATGTGAAAACAGAGTACCAGCAAAAGCTGATCTCCAGTGGGTCATCAAAGAAGTGAGGAGCTGAAACATCTTCCCAAGTCAGTACTAGGATCTAGCTAGTTTTAAGATGGAGCTGCACTCATTCAGATAACAGTGTAGGGTACTTGGTTGTCTCTGAGGTCAGTGTACTGATCCACATTATCTGGTAAGTCCCTTCTGGTCCTATGTCCTAAGTGATTCACAAGCTGAGATGTGGCAGACATCAAACCACAAGCACAAGGAGCTCCAGTCCTACTTCATATCAGCAGGGTTTCTTAATCTTCAGCTGGTAAAATGCTGATATGTGCTCTCAATACCTACACTGCGCAAGGAGGAAGCCAGCAAAAAGGCTGTGATGCCAGCTGGATGGAAACCTCCAATCTTTCACGTTTACTGCCACCAGCTATTAGAGGGCAATATTCAGCCCCCAGACATGGTCCAACAATTCCCATTTCTCAGCCAAAGGAGGTATTTAAAGCCCAGTTTTTTTACACAGGTTTCTTGCCTGAAGTCTTATTTCCCACATTTAGTTTATTCTCTAATTCCCACTAGCTCCTCACATGACAGCTCTTCCCTGTGCAGCATGGTACACCAGCTCCAGGACACTGCCCCTTGGTTTTTATACTGTGTCTTACCCTTTACTCCTCTGGTTGAGCTTCTTCAGGAAGACACGTGTGACTTCCAGGGCCTCCCTTTCTCTCAGCATCAAGTTTCCTGACGTGTTGCATTTCAGGTCAATCCAGTCTGTGCGCAGCATATGGAAGTCAAGGTTGCTCGTGCTGAAGGTCTGCTCCCAGTTCACCGCCTGGTCAAACACTGGTACATAATCAAAATCCTCCTCATCTTCCTCCTCTGGCTCCCCATCTACCTCTTCCTCTTCTGCTGCCACAGGTCCAGACTTGCCCTTCACAGGAGATGCCACCTGCGCTTCTCCCTCGCCCACATCCCCACCGTTGGCCACCTTCTGCTCAGCAATGTAGGACTCCACTTGGTTCAGCCACTGCGGCAGCCCAGGCTGCTGGCTGGGGCTGGCAGAGCTCACAGCGCGTCTGCCGGCTTTGCCAGAGACTGGGCCTCTTTCCCCGGCTGGCACGGTGCCTGCTGGCTGCAGCCCGTCCTTAGCAGTGCTGAAGCCTCTCTGAGGTCTCACCCCTTTGGGAATCATGACCCCTGAGTCCCTGGGGCCCCCGAGAGGCTGCTGCCTTTGAGACACGGTTCTAGAAGGAGGGTTCACCTTTTTGACAGGCACTCTCCCCTGGACGGCCCTGGCATGCTGTGGAGGGCTCTGGGAGTTGTCTTTGACGCCAGCTTTTAAATGGGGTCTCTTCATTGTTGGGTTCCCCTCTAGGCCAAGCTGGCTGAGGCTTTGGTTGGCAGAGGCCAGCGTCACTGATTTGACACCAGACCTCTTTGTCCTTCTCCTGTGTAGCCCCTCTCCTATGTGGCCACCCACCACTGAGAGGAGTCGACGACGCTCCTGGAGGGAATAGTCCTTGTGAACGTTATTGCTGCCCACCACGCTGCTGGGAGCGTTGCCTGCTGGCTCTGCCCTCCCTGTGGCAGGGCGCTCAGGGGGACTGGTACTCTCCATGTCCTGCTCCACATACTGCAGGTCGTCCGGGTTCCCCTCCTGGGAGCCTGCAGGAGTAACTGTAGTTACACCTCTGGCATCCTCCCGCTGCCTTCCCCGTCCCGACCCAGGCACCTGCCCTGCCAGGGGCAGCTACTTCTTGCCTCATCTCAGCGTTGTCTCCCCTGCTCAGAGGGACAGGGATGCTCTCACATGACAGCCATGTTCTTACTAGTACCAACCTCCTCAGAACCTATTAGCCAGCATTGCCAAAGGCTGTGGAGGTGTCTGGCTTTGCCTTTAGCTGTTGGTCTGGCCACAGCTTTGCAGGGGAGGTATGAGCATAGGCTGCCACACTGCACACCTTTGGCTTTGTTGCTTCAGCCCACGTTTTTGCTGGAATTGCACCTCAGCTGAGTTGCGGGCCTGAGAAGTAGTTGTCACACTGTCCACTACAGCCCACTGTTTGGTGACATCCCAACCTGCCCTTAAAAGAAGTGAAAGTGGCAGCAAAACTCTCACGGCAAAACAGGGCTGTGACTTCCTTGGTACAGAAAGTCAACAGCTTTCAGCTCGTGCTGGAAGATCACACAGAAAAGTAAGATAAAAGGATCCTCTGGGCTCTGACATCAGGGCCCCTACCTGGCTGCTCTGTCTTTTCTCCAGAGTCTGGGCTCTTCTCTGGGCGATCCATCTTCATGTACTTGTAGAATCCAAATCTGCAGAGGGAAGGGCAAAACACAGGTTTGATGAAAGTTACTTTGCCCTCTCCAAATAAATTATGGCCACTGCTTCAGAGGTGATGGTCCATTACTCTGATTACATCTACCCAGCATCTCTAGATCCTCTTCTTTTATCATCATCACCACCTTTCATATCTTTGGGCAATTAGATCTTACTCTGCACTGTCAAAGACGTCTGTTTTCCTTGCTTATCATCTCAGTCTCTCAGACATTTTCTCATAAGCACAGGAGGAAATCTCAGTGTAAGTACCCTGAAATACTTCTTTAGCCTCCCTTAAACTGCTCCTTAAAGCTTACTTATGATGTAGTGCTCAAAAACACAAGTCATCATGCTGCAAAAGCAGCTCAGGTAGGTAATTGCAATGATCTCTCTCTCTCTTCTCTCATACCACCACTGTCTGCGTGCTGTCTTCATATGCCTGTGCTTCAAGCTCTTGGGAGGGATTTCCAGGACTGTTTCGCTCCATGTGTGCTTGATGCCAAGCAAAACGGGCCCCCAGTTCCCAAATGCTGTCACAATACAAATGAATTGTCAAAGCAATGAACCCGGGTGGCACCTTCCAGCCCATGGCAGCCACCTTCTCCATCCTTCACTATGAACCCCAGTCCCAAGAGTTCCCTCCCAAACCTAGGATACAATCTCTTGTTCCAGCTCTCAAAATAGTCCTGTAGGGAGGAAGAAGATCCTAAGCACAAGGAGGCCACCATCAGTTTTCTCACCAGAAGAGTGACTCTCCTTATCCTGCAAAAAAGTCCTCCTGAATGGAGGGAAAGCCTCACACAAGGTGTCTGCCTGTTGCAGGGGGAGCATGTAAGCTGCGGTTCCCTTGCAGGGCCACTGCTGGGAGCAGGACCCCAGTGAAGATGAATGACATGCATTTCTTCCCCCAGAGAGATGCCTAGTGGTAAGCATGGTTTGGCTTTCACAGTGACAGCCATCAGGCTCCAGCTTCTGGCAGGCAAAGTTTGCTGGAAATACACTCCCTGATGTAGGGGAACAAATATGCTCTGACCCAGCTACTGGATTAACAGAGCAAGAACAGCAGTGGCAGTTTCCCCTTGAGATCTAAACATATTTTCACTTAGAGGGAGCATAAGTTATCAAAAGAAACTATAAATGCTTTCATGTTTTGACTATACATGCTTTAATGTTTTGCAAGGCATAGGGGATCTTTAAGAATTAAGAGAGTCCTACAGAACTGAGTATGAAATTCCACCCCAATTCCAGCCTTCTGCTCCCTTCTCTGCTAGTAAACCCGCATTTGCAGCATCCTACCTTTCCAAGTAATAAGGGTTTTCCTGATAGAAGCATTTGTTGTCTTTCTCCATGTGGCTCAGGCGGCTGTAATCATTCGGGTAAACAAAGGATAAATGAACCTGGGAAGAAGGTAGGAAAATAAAATAAAACCCTTGTAAATACCAGATATCAATCACAAGGTGACCCAGACACAGTTGCAGAGTGACCAGCCCTTTTGAGAGGGAGCAGGGGTTGCTCACTGTTTGTCTCCCAAGGCACCTGGTAGCAGCCTGTGAGAATGGAAAACAGAAGGAAGCGTGCTGGGCTGTGTGCATACGTGTGCCTTTTTTCTCTCTCTCTCAGCATCTGTCTGTCCATCTCTGTAACTGTGCATTTAAGTCCTATAACAGAGCAAGAATTAGCTGGGAGAGAGGTGGGCAAGTCCTCCTGAAGAGATGCAGGGGATCACAGGAGCCCAGAAGCCGTGTGGGGAGACCTCCAGGCAAGGCTGAGGCAGCCACAGCCACCCAGGATGCGAGTCCCCTGGGGAGCGTAGGCTTGCACTGACATCCAGGGAGGGCAAACCGTGCTGGTGATCCGTCCCCAGCAGACCTCAGAGTCTGCTCTGCTATGCAGGGGATTAATCCCTCCTATTTTGCATGCCCCACAAATGTGAGCTCCCCCTCAAGAGCAGTTTTAAGCTTGTCAGGGGCTTTAGTAGTCCACACAGACTACAGTTCACCCCATGGCCGAATCCTCGGCCATTGTGAGGCTCTATGTGAAGGCAAGATCAATTCTTTGGTTTGAGGTCCAAGGGGCTCTGCAAGACATACACACTTGTAACCCAGTGAGACCCGGGAGCAGTGTGTAGCACCCATCTCCCTTTTCTTGGTGTTGCTCTTTGTCATGTACTGGGATGCACAGACCTGAACAGCAGAAGGCCAAATCTGCTCAGGAGCTTCAGATCGGTGGAGAGGGCCCCATGGTTAATGTGGTCTCCCCTCCTTCCTCCTTGTGTTGCCCTGGGCAAGTACCTGCTCAAGGAATAAAACTTACAAACTGGAGTCCCTGGTAGCGCTGCAGAGGAAATCCATTCACCAGGTAGCTGGGCTTGTATGGGCAGTCGAGCAAGGCTCGGCGCACACGAGACTTGCTGAGCAGAGGCACTGAGAAGAAGAAACACATAGGCAAGTGTTGCTGGAGGAGCCCTGCTGCAACCGATGCACCAGCTTAGCTACTTCTGTGACCAGTTTCTATTTATCCATGTGAAATACTAACAGATACACAAAGCAAACTACCTTGCACAGCTCATCTCTTTACATTCCTCTATGGCACTTACACAAAAATATTATGCCTGGGGATGTTGTGTGAGCTGGATGCCAAGAAAGAGGAGCTGGGTTTAGTCTATGCTTTGTCTCCTACAGTGACTGATACGTACGCTGCCCCTCTCTTCTGTGCTGGGGAGAAAAAAGTATGGCCTTTGATAACCATGGTGTAGGAGGACAATCTTTCTCAGCTGTGCTACTGCACGTGCTGTGACAGGCTTCAGCTACCTCCTCAACTGCTTTGCAAGTCTTACCTTCGTAAAGAGTGTCCCGGGGGTCAGGCTTCAACATGTCAGCTGGGTGTGCCTTGCTGCCTGCGCTGTCAGCAGGCCGGTTCGTGTGACTGGCCAACGTCTGCGGGATATGCCCAACCTCATCCATCTTTAAAAGCGTCTCGTCTAGAAACCAGAAAGAGAACGGAAGGGGGAGGAAGGGCTAATTCATCCCTTGTCCCAAAAAGTACCCCTCTCCAGTGTCAGCTCTTTCCAAATGGCATAGCATCCATGGCACTAATGCTGTCTCTCTGGCATAGGAATGCCTAAATGGTGCTGATCGGGAGCTTCACCACAAAGACACTGTGGGGAGGAAAGGCTTTGACTCAGAAAGTTGGGAACACAGAAACTGTGGGGTACAAACATGGCTATCACTGAAAGCAAACAAACACAGAGAGGAGTAATGGAGGAAAATGACCTCCTGCCTTGGACACACCAGCAGCGGTGTGCTGAAGAAGCCGCATGCTGGCAGGAATTACTGGACACTTCTGAAATAATTCTGAAAATAATAATAGTATTAAATTTCTTTTAAGAGGAGATAGAAAAGATGAATGGGAGGAGAAACGTGAGAAATGGAGCTTTCTCCTGTGCTGGAAAAGGATCAGGACCCTGAGAGGAGGCCTTTAGTGGCCAAGGAGGATGATACTCCAGCAGGGGAATGGGGACCCACAGTAAGCCAGGAGCAATGGGAAGCTTAAACTCAAGACTGAGTATTGGTTATGTTTTTTCTTGGGTGCTGCTGCCAGAGGACTTCATGTCTCCATGGATCTTACTCTGAGATGAGAACTGAATAAATATACAAGAGGGAAAGGCAACATGCTGCCAAGGGCACTGGAGTTACTGTTAGCAGCTTTTGGGTACTGAACAACATGGGAACCCAGAAGGAATGGGATGACATGTGATACAGCCAAAGGCTGATACGGAAGAGGGAAACACTGCATGGGCAGAAGGTGCCAGATAAAGATGAGACTGCAGCACCGTGCCCAACCATGAAAGGATCTTCTGGGATGTGAGTCTTCCCTTCTACAGGGAATTAGTAAGAAGAAAAGAGCAGAAGGAAAAAGGATGGGGGCAGAAGACCTAATGGAAAACCTAGTCCTGGCCAAATGGCAGGTTTCAGAAAATACAGCAGCAGGTTACAAACCAAGACACAGCAAACAGATGTCTCAATTACATCAAGGAGTCTTCCATGGGCAGAAGTGCTGGCATGGAAAAAAGCCCAGAGGTGTTGGAAGGCAACAGTGGCAGATATGGAAAGGGGGAATGCTGGCAGAGGAAAGTGATTCTGACAAAGCTAGATAAGGGTAAACAGGACTAAGAAGCTCCTTAACTGATAAAGGCATCACTTGATGTGCCAAGATGGGTTTAAAAAACAGGAGGGACTGGGCTGATGTCCCTGCTGCAATCCAGCAGCAACTTGAAGAGACTTGAGGCTGATACAGAAGAAAGCAGCATCCCCCAGTATTGCTAGTGTATCCCATTCTGTCCAGCACACAGACTGAAATCTCCTGGAAGTGCCACAGCCACCCCTTCTCCCTGGCTGTGTGCAGCTGCCAGCGCACCCCCGCAGCACCCACATTATGGGCCTCATGTTACCCCTATCTCTCCAGGCAACCTCCATCCTGTGTGTTCTCACATCTGGGACAGTTCTCGCCCTGGCAGATCCTCCTCTCTGCCCTTCTGCACTGCCCCTAGATTTCCCTGAAATAATGTTCCAATCCTACTTCCAATTCTCCTATAATTAATAAGGAGTCACAGTCTTGTCCAGAGGTCTCTCTCCTGACCTGTCTCCACTTCCTCCTTGTAATGATCTGTACGTGTAGTATTTGCCTGGCTAGACTATCATTCACAGTGAAACACCGCTGATACTTTTTGGAAGAATGGGGAGGCGCTCAGGGAAACCTGTGATGAAGATACTTACTAGCAAAAAGGGAGAGGTATTGAGAGTCAATGACTTTGAACTTCGCTTCTGGGTCATTCAGTCTCCACTGGAACAGAGAAACACATTAAAATGAAGTGCTTATGGAGTTAACCAAGCCAGAACAAAAGGAACAGGCACGAGATGTTTTTTCACCAGATGGACTCGCAGCTTCCTCTTTCTCCTTACTACGATCGAGTTTACCTAGCAGCAAAAGACTAGGAATGAGCTGAGATCCCCTAGGACACATCCAAAGCAGAAAAAGACAAAAAGCTGCAATAGAGACCAAAGAAGACAGAACGATCCCAAGTAAGCAGTGGTAAGGGTCCTGACATGTGGCCAGGACTATCCCACATAGAAGTAGGTAAGGGCTCTGGAAGGGATTAGATAGATCTCATGCAAATTGGAGCTGGGCCTGGGAAAGGAGGTAAATCGTTACAAACATCATTCCTGAGCCCTGCAGGGACAATTATACAGCACGACCATTTGCACAGACTCACTGCTACTTCCACGTGGTCTGTTCCTCTGTCATCCTGCTTGTGCAGCACCTCAAAATAGTACCTGCCTGCAGCTGACAACCTGTGAAGAACAACGTGTCTGTCACCAAAAGCAATAAGGAACATTTCTTAGCTTGTCAGCAGACAATGAATGGAGAGCAACCACACCATGAAACAACCTAATTCTCAGGGTGAGCAGGGTTAGGACTGCCAAGAAAATCCAGATGCTGACAGTGAGATAGGTAGCTTCTCTTGTGCACCTGGAGGGCTCCAGGCCCTTCTCAGTTAATTCTGAATAACTCCCTTTCAGTCTGGCCTGATGGGTTTTGGCCTCTGGGAAACCTGGCCAGTTCCAAGGCAGGAAGGTCAGGATACAGTTCATATAGAGGAGTCTGGATCTGCTGGTGGCTGCTTCCTCCAGGGAAGAAAAATTCAGTGTTGCAGTCCTGCAGTCAATCAGCAAAGCAACTGGCACCAGTGTGGATGTGTCACTTCAGCTTTGGCGATAGCCCAGAGTAATCCCTGTCTCTACATTGCTAAATTCTTCACAACAAGCCTAGGTTCCCTTTCCTGGTCCTTGTGATTTCCTGGCCATGTGCAGAGGTGGCTGGGAGCGAGGGGCTCTGCTCACTCACCTCACCATCTTTGACTGCTGGCTGTGAAATTTCCCAAACTCCCCTGGTGCGGTCCACTCCTTCCCTGTCTGTGGAGAGACAGAAAATGCTCTAGTTGAGTTTCTTCCCCAGTTACTGTGCTGGGAGTGATGAAGAGGGAAAACTGAGCTACTCCTCCTTGTAAGCTGTCTGTGAGATCTATAACCTGTGGACAGATTTAAGTTCCTTAATCATGAACATGGGGCTCCCAACAGCACTGCCAATATGTAACTGGCTTAAGGTATGTCGCATCATACCCATCCGGCATCTGTAGTGGTGTTGTCTGTAGTTAGGCAGGAAAAGAAACTTGGATAGTCCAAGGAAGTACATAAGACAGGAAGGTCTCCATCCCCACAGAAACATTAAAAGCCTTGATGGAAGAAGCCATGCAGCATGCACTGTACCTTGCCTACACTGGCCAGCAGCTGGAGACCAGAGGTCTTTTCATCTGCACTCAGCCAGAACTCAGCATTGTCATCCGCAGCAATGGCAAACTGAAACTCCCCTGTCAAGAGATGGAGGGAGTAAGTAGGGCTCTGGGGTAAGGGCTTGTGCACAGAACAGATTCTGCTCCTCTAAAATGCTGTCTTCACCCTTTTTCCTGGTGAGAACATACCTTGCCTTTTGATATTACCACCCCCACCCTTTTGAACTCTCTAGCTCTGCTGTGATTGTAAACAAAACTTTACAGATGCAACTGGTTCACTATCCCTCCTGCGTTGGCTTCACCTGACATCTAACCTGGAAAGCTAAGAAGCCCATGCTTAGACCCAAGTCTCCCTGCCTCCCATTTTGTTTCCAGAGCAAATTTTTGTGTGAGAAGCTGTGTTTGGATGGAGGAATGTGCACGTGGAGCCACAAAGGGAGACAGAGGTGCCTGAGTCTCACTGTTCTGGCCGGGGTTACGGGGATGCCAGCTGAGGGCCAGGGGATCAGGAGGCGTAGGTGAGCACTAGCAGGCCGCTCCGGGCAGAAGCATGCAGCTGGGCGATACAGATGTCAGCTGCTGTCAGACTGTATTCATGCACCCGGGGAGCAGCAGGAACATAAATGATGTCATGTACAGTCCT